TGATTGAGAAAGTTATGTCATGGTATTTTAGCATGACAAAGGGAGTTATGTCATAGTATTTTTGCTATTGTATACCGGCAATGAGTTAAGTAATGGATTTTATACTGTAGATTTATTGGCATTATTATTATTATTATTATTTCATTGGCATTATTAAAAGTCATTGTTTGATTTAAAAATATATAAACTAAGATCTATAAGTGTGTGGATATGACTAAATTTAAGAGCATGTATTTTGTGTAAAATAATGAAAAAAAAAAAACAGGTCGGATTTTTCTCCGGAATTCTCCACCTAACACTCCAAAATCCTCTTCACGCAAAATCTCATACATATGAACCCCCCTCCCCCTCCCCCAACACACACACACACGAACGACACTTTTAGCATTAATAATGGCTTGGCTGATAAGGTCATTTTGGTGACCTATATACATTCACTAACAAAGTAAGGTCATTTTAATTTCTTATTTCAAACTTTTTAATAGGTGAGAAATCAACTTCTTTACAAGAATAGACCATTTGACCACATTTATAGGTTACAGATACCGTCACTTAAAAATGGGATATACTGTTAAAGAAAAAAGAGAAAAGAAAACTTTTAGCTATTCTAAAAAGGGTTTAATTATCATAAAAAATAAAAGACAATGCTTAGCTACTCACTGGTGGATAGGGTGAAACTATTCACTCCCATGTGGTCCAATAACAAAATAACACACATTACCTTTAATAATAGAATAATCCACACATTTCTCTTTTCTCGGATTAACTATTGAATAAATCGTATATAGTATTTTTAGGTATGAATTATTTTATTATTAAATGTGATGTGTTATTTTATTATTAGACCACATAGAGGTGAGTAACTTCATCCTACCCACCAGTGAGTAGCTAAGCATTATCCAAAAATAAAAAGAATAATTCTTAAAATGGTTACATCATCATATATAAGAATTATATACATGAATAAATCATATATGTACTAAAATGTTTTCAATTCGGTAATTCCCTACATTTGGGGTTGAATGGCCATCTTTTGTTTAATGTTAATCACCTTGTCCTCAATCCATCTATAATTGTTCTACTACATTTTATTTTTATAAGGAAAATGATTCTTAGGCGGATTTGTCTTAGCCCATGAATTTTTATCTTTTCAGTTTATTCATTACATCTAGGGATGACAACGGGGGTGGGTTTGGGTAGGTGTACCCTCCCCTGCCCCTACAACTGTTTTAAAACCCCGCTCCCGTCCCCACCCAAAACCGCAAAATCGGGAGAACTTTCCACTCCATTCCTGTAACCGTTTAACATTTTTACCCCAGCGGGTACCCGCCCCACCCCGTTTAAGACAAAAATTTATTTATTCTTGAAATAGATTTACTCGTTTTTTTTTTTCTCCTCATCTTCAATTCTTCACCATTACAATTTTCTTTTTAATGAAATTTATTTGTTACTTTAATATTGCTATATAGGATACTTAATATACAGTAGGAAATATATATATATTAATGAAATAAGAGTATTTAAGTAATTTGCTATCTAAACAGGACGGGGCGGTGCGGGGCAACCTCCCCCCACCCCCGCACCAAATTCGCGCGAGTTTCTATTACATCAAACAATCCCTGCCCAAATAAATAAAACGGTTCCCCAAAACTGCCAAAAACGGGACGGGTAACCGCAGGGGCCAGTCAAATTGACATCCCTAATTACATCCAACAGATAAAAATCTTTTTTGCCGAACAAATCCGTCTAAGAAAAATGCCTATGTATCATTACTCTTTTTCAAAAGTAAATTTACTTTTAGTCTCATGCAAATTAGGGCTTGAATCCCCAATTATCATTTTATGTGATATATAAACACCTTTTCATTATTTTTTGGAGGCTGGACTCTCTGCCTTTCACTCTGAAACGAAATGAATATATCACATGTCTTGGGTAGTTATCTCTCTCGAGGGGCTCAGCGGGCAGCCGCCTCCAATGAAATCTTTTTTACTTGCAAAATTACCTATGAATTTTGTAAAAATCTAAAAAATATCTCTTCTTTTTATCAAAATCTTAAAAATGTTCCTACTCAATTTCTAATGATACCCCATTATACAAGATGCATTCTTCTTATATAATTTTTTGAGTCTGTCACAGTTTTTCTCAATTTGAAATACTAAATTATGGTATGAATCGTATAATGTTAAATAAGAACCGATGAATGAGAAATATCTATATTAGTTTATATATATATATATATATATATATTAAAAAAAAAGGGTGAAAATTTTGAGGCTCGAAGATTAAGATTTTCTCAAATTAATGTTAGAATGTGTAGGGTGCACTTCAGCAGCTGTTAGAAGTCTACTGCACATGCAAGCCATCCATAATCAATGCAACTTTCTTATCTTGATTTTTGTCTTGAGATCCACACAGCAACACTCGTCCTTTTGTGTAGATTGTACAATTTGTTAGCTGGAAAATTCACACCTTTTTATCAACCACAGGGTGTCAAATGCTACTAAATGTTTTACATTAACATGGAAAAGAACTAAAGTCTCTTAGACTTGGTCATACCTTGGACCCCTCATGTGAAATCAAAATTTTAGGGCTTGACCTATTTGCATACTTTTGGATGCTTCGCGACTGCGCTATTAGAACATTATTCAGTAACCTAATTGTTAAAACATTCAACTCTCCAAATAAGTATATATGTGTTCAAGTTCTAACCTAATTCATATAAAATCAAAGCGGGAGTGAGAGTGAATTTGAGAGTGAAAGTGTGAAAGCAGTAAAATTAAGTCACAAATAGTGCAAATGTGAGCGAGAGCGGAAGCGTGCTCGAAGCGTAAGAACGACACCCATTAAGAAAGATTGTTTGACTGTAGAAAAAGAAAAGAGTAACTTTACTCTAAAGTCTAAACAGTTTTACATTTGATATATATTGACAAAGTAAGACAAAATTATATTTATATTATTTCCTAAGCAACCTGAAAAAATTAGGCATCCAATGCTGCGACAAGCTAAAACCTCAGAGAGATATATATATATATAGCTGTTGATTAATATATATTTGTTAGGCTATTTAGATATATTTGACTAAACCAAGATAGAGATGATTTATTAGGTTGTTACATAGACCATTTATTGAAAAATATAATGCACACCAGAAATTCAAATTGCAATTGCGCAGGTGGAACATTTATGTCATCATAACTAGCATATGTAATTTCTGAAAAACTAATTGAGATCCATCTCATGTTTAACAATTTCATTACAATTGCAATCTTAATTCATCCCCTTTCAAAGTGCAACTTTAACAATTGCACGTGCCCCTGGCCCGGCCTGGCCCAACCCTCTACAATATATGTGGTATTTTTTTTTTTTTCATATATATGAAAATTTCATACTTGCTCCCCTAATTTTTTTAGTTTTTAAAATGATCTCTTTAACTTTTTCTTTAATTTCTCTTTTATTCTTCAAAATCCTTTAAATTCCTTTAATAGAAAACGCTAATTTTTTCTTTCAAAGTTCTCTTATTTTTCTTTCCTTTTTTTTTTTTTTTTTCCTTTTCTATTTCTACTTCTTAATTTTTTTTTTTTTTTTTGGTGCATATTTGAATGATTTTCTTCTTCTTCTTTTATATTATATATATATATATATATATATATATATATATATATATCTATCTATCTTGCACTGTGCCCCTAACTTGAAATCATTTACATTGAATATGCAATACATGTACCATATATAGTATTGATCATGTTGCAATTCTACAATACTATTGAATCATTATTGATTTAAATGCTTATGGATGAGAAAACGTTATAGTTCACGAATTTAGATTTGTGATTTTATATCAAATTAGTGGCTGCTTATTTTTTTTTTTATTTTTTTTTTATTTTTTTATTATTTTTTTTTTTACACTTGTCAGCGTATTTGACTGCTTTATGTTCTTTAAAAGTAATTTTTTACTATAGGAAAGATCTTTACTTTTAATATAGTGTAACAAAGAAAAAAAATGGCAAAGCTTATCATTATAATAATTTGAACTCAATAACATATATATTTTCATTTGGGAGATCCTTTCTATTAAATCTTCAAATAATTAAAACTAGAAGTACAATTTATTTTATGATGAATGGGTGATCTCTTTTTTTCTAAAGACTAAAGAGATACCAACAAAAATACACTGAAATTGAGAGAGTGGAGAAGATAATATATATTTTTCATATATATATCTAAATATTAGTAAAAAAAACAAATTATAGATAGAGAAAGGGTCCCAGTGTAATTGTTTGTTTTTACTTTTTTTTTTTTTTTTTTCATTGCAATTTGTTTAGTTTGTTAAAATAGAAAACACAAATATATATAAAAAAAATAGTTTGTAATATGTATTAAAATAGAAGACAATCATCATATTTAAGATACAATCTCGAATTAAAATTCGAGATGTATAATAGCATTGCTCCATGGCCATAACCAAAAAGATTTATCATCAACACCTTCTCACATATTACTTTAATTATTTATGGTAATTAATTAATTTTTCTCATAATTACTTTCTTTCATTATAAATTATAATGGCAAAAAAAAAAAAAAAAAAAAAAAAAAAAAAAAAAATTAATGAGGACGAAAAAAGAAAAAAGAAATAATACCTTGTGAGACCCACATGAATTTGTCTTAAAGAAAAAAAGAAATAATACCTTGTCTATTGGTATATATATTTTAATTTTTTTTTGGCCTGTATATTTTTTTATGTGATTTGACGAAAATAAATGTTTTGTTAAATGTAGATATCCTAAAATTTAAGAAAAACAAAGAACAGCCCAACTACTTAAGCCTCTTAATCAGGTATTTAACAGCTATTTATTAGTGATGATGTTGATCTCATTTTTTAATATTCCTCAAATCCCCCGAAATTCCAAATCGTCTACTTTTGCCTGTATAGATATATATATATATATATATCGTCGTTTAATGCCCTTTGCCAACTATAATATAAATGCCCCACATAGCAAACTGACCGAACCACAAGTACACAGAGACAAACAAGAAGAAAGAATCACAAATAGCCGACTTCTTGAGCACTCTCAAATACACACACACACACACGCACATATATATCTATATATCTGTGTGTGTATAGACACACGTAAACAACATTTATATATCTCTCTGTTTGTGTGTGTGAAATGTGTTCGCTTGTGTAATGGTTTTGTACATTAGTTTTGATAGGAAGGAGAGAGAGAGATTTAGAGAGAGAAAGAGAGAGATGCAGCAGAAGCGCTGCAGGTGGAGGACGCTGGGACTACTGAGGAAGTCGCTAACCTGCGCCGTATGTTCAATAGCACTGGTGGCTCTTTTCTCAGTCCACGTACGCATTTTTCCTTCCTCCAGAGTCCCCACCATGTTACATGACCCTCACATGTTCTCTACGGTGATCTCTCCCCTCCAATTCTTTCTTTTTTTCCTTTTCTTCAACACTTTCCCTTTTTATTATTATTGCCTTCTCAATCCTAGGGTTTCAAGTTCTTGGTCCTTTTCAACCCTTTCAAGTCTTGATGATTATTTATTTATTTTATTTTAATTCTTTAATCTTTTTTTGTGTTATGTATTTGTATTTATTTCTTTGTGTTAAGGAATGATTTTTGAAAAATAAAAATAAAAATGGGTATATTAAGCAATACCAAGTTAATGTACTCTGTAACTCTGTTACTTGAATATGTTTCTTTTTTGGAAGTTTTTGTTCAAGATTGCGTGTGTACATTAATTTATGTTGTATCACCACATTCAGCAATGATATGGGAATTTTTGGAATTTTATACTTGTTATTTGTTTTTTACTGTAACAATGGATTGGGATTGATAAATGAGATTATTTTCTCACTTATTTAAAAATTAATGTTAAATAAAGGGAAAAGGAGACAATCTTCTGATCTGGGTTGGTTTACTTTCTCAGCAACATGAAATTGAATACCAGAAATTGAGTAGGGAGCAAATCTTCACACAAGCATTCACTCCTCCCTCTTCTGGCAAGGTTTTGTGCTTCTCTCAATGTATCCAATTAATTTTCATCTTTATTTTATTTTTTACTTAATTGATAATCCCTTTCATATTTTCATTAATATGGAATTAGTATTTTTTTATCCTCTACATTGTGCATGTCAAGAATGCTGTATTGATCCAATCAGGTGTATTGTGGTCTCAGTGTCATAGATGGAGATGTATATATATATATTAATGCAAATTTGTCATGCATCTTTCATGTTTTCACTCCTTTAGACTTGACAGTTTGTTGGTGCAAGTGGGATTTCGGATACTGACAAGTTATGGAAGCCTCCGCCAAATCGTGACTATGTGCACTGTGTTGAGCCAAGTTCATCCTACACATGTAAGGAAGTTCTGATTTTGCACTTTTGCTTCAATTGTGCTAATATGAAGTGTCTTTGTATTCATTTTTCTCATACTATTCTCAATTCAGCTCCTGAAGAGTCTCAAGGATACCTGCTTGTTAATACAAATGGCGGGCTCAACCAGATGCGAGCTGGGGTTTGTACTCTCTCTGTCTCTCTAGCTGTGCATCTTTTATAAAGTTTGTACTCTATTTTCATGATCTGCTGCAATGCTAACAAATTATGAGGGAAAAAAAAAATGTAAAACTTGAAATCCTACAATAGCCACTCCAATCCTAACTTGTTATAGACAAATAACTAAAATAGAAGAACGATTTCAAGGCCTATGTAGGCACTTCTGAAATCAATTTCATACTATAAATTCGAAGGATAATTTTCTAATGAAAAGATTTCTGCATAACCTTCAAATAAGTGGTCTGTTATAGTTTTTTGGTGGGAAGTTTTGTGAAATTGTAAAAGTAACTTGCTAAATCAGAAAGGATAATAATTGCAAAAATAGAAAAAAATGTTCTCTTGATGTAATTAATAAATTAAGACATTAGGCAGGGAGGAAATTAGTCATTTCTGTGTGATTTAGCTGATGTGTTGCTATTACTTGTTAAATTATTTATTTATAAAAAAAAAAAAAAAAAAAAAAAAAAAAAAAAAAAATTATTTGTTAAATTATTTGCCTTCCAGTCATATTCAAAGTATTAAAATTAACATGCGACTTAATGACTTCCTCGACTCTAGGGCTGTAAGTAATTGAGGCAGGTCTCCTTTTTAATATTTATAACATACATTACAACCTTTATGATTGTTTGTTGTTAATTTCTGTGGAGAATGACCTTAACTCCCTTCCCCTTCCACTAGCTGAGTGGGAAATTTCCTGTGGGAGTATCACTAGATAGTATTTGGTACTTGGCTGCACTTCTTTTACATATGACTTTTTTATGCACATATACAGAGTTCTATACGTATGAAGTATGCTAATTTATCAAACAGTGGAGTTTGGGGTCTTCAATTTCAGACTTACCAGACACGTATCACTTTTGAGAAGTTTGGTTTGATTTTATGAGGTAATTAGAGAAGTTTGGTTTGATTTTTTGAGGTAATTCATGCCTTATGGCCAATGAAAAAGTTTAAAACCTGTAGACTCCATTGCTGCTGAGCTGTCAATTAAAACTCAAATCCTAAAGATACTAAACACGTTTAGATAGTATTTGGCACTTGGCTGCACTTCTTTTACATATGACTTTTTTATGCACTTACACAGAGTTCTATATGTATGAAGTATGCTAATTTATCAGACAGTGGAGTTTGGGGTCTTCAATTTCAGACTTACCAGACGCGTATCACTTTTGAGAAGCTTGGTTTGATTTTTTGAGGTTATTCATGCCTTATGGCCAATGAAAAAGTTTAAAGCCTGTAGACTCCATTGCTGCTGAGCTGTCAACTAAGACCCAAATCCTAAAGATACTAAACACGTTAGAACTACTTATCTTACTTGCCACTCTATATTTGCACAATCTGGACCGTTAATTGTCACCTCTTTTTAAGTTATGGTCAATGTTTTTTTGTGCATCCATTTCCTAATTAGTCAAAATAGACCTTAACCCGCTTTTGTTTATATTTAATTTTGGTAGTGCAATTATGCTCCCCAAACTGATTCCCCTGCATTTGTACTCGTCAGAATCTAACATTATTGCTTGTTTTCCTCTGCCAATCTATAGTTGGAGCATATCTTAACACAATTCTAACAAGTTAAATGTCATCTTTAGTTCATTGGCATGGTTTACAATATATGACACAACAGCTAAAGCAAAACTGAAGCTGGCAACTTATCCTTGAACAGTTTTAACATTCATCACAAGTTTACTGATACAGCTATTATCTGGAGCTGAAAGAATTGTCTCATTGTTGACTTGCAGATATGTGACATGGTAGCTGTAGCCCGTATTATCAATGCTACCCTTGTAATTCCAGAACTTGATAAACGCTCATTTTGGCAAGACACTAGGTACCATTTGTTTCGTATTTCTATGATATGCATCTCTCTCGAGTTCTGAATGCTTGATGCTGTACTTAGTTTTATATTTCTACATGCAGCAATTTTTCTGATGTTTTTGATCAAGATCATTTTATCAATTCCTTGGCTAATGATGTAAAAGTCATTAAAAAAATTCCCAAGGAATTGTCAACTGCTACCAGGGCAGTTAAGCACTTCAGAAGTTGGTCTGGTATAGATTACTACCAGGATGAGATAACAAGCCTGTGGGAAGATTATAAGGTATATACAATTGGCGTATTCCATTTAGAATCTGTTTAGTCGGTCATTAAGACATTTCAAGTGCAATATCTAATTAAATTTCTTATAGGTTATTCGAGCTGCTAAGTCGGATTCACGACTAGCAAATAATAATCTTCCTCCAGACATTCAGAAGCTGCGCTGCCGTGCTTGTTATGAAGCCCTTCGTTTTTCACCCCGAATTAGAGCAATGGGAAAAGTAAATTTTAAATGCTCAGATGACTTTTAAGAATGCCTTTATTTTTGTTGTGGCCAATGCAATATAGTCATCATTCAAATTATTGTGATTCTGTAGTTGCTGGTGGATCGCATGAGAACAAATGGTCCCTACATTGCTTTGCATTTGCGATATGAGAAGGATATGCTTGCCTTTAGTGGATGCACACATGATTTATCCCCAGATGAAGCTGATGAATTAAGGACAATCAGGTAAAAGACTTCATTTCGGCTTAGTTGCTTAGGACCATTATTATGTCCTATATTTGTATGTGTAAGGACAACCGTAATAACTATATGCTGCGTAATACAGACTTCATTTTTTATATTTTCATTGTGACATGTAGAGAAAACACTGCGTATTGGAAAGTAAAGGATATCAATTCCACCTTACAGAGAGCCAATGGGTTTTGTCCCTTAACTCCGAAGGAGGTTGGACTGTTCCTTACTGCTCTTGGATTTCCATTGAACACACCCGTATACATTGCTGCTGGAGAGATATATGGAGGTGATACTCATATGGCTGACCTGCGATCCCGCTATCCAATTTTAATGAACAAGGTATGGAATGGTGTCACTACCTTGCTTTATGCTTCAGCTTTTCTAATTTTTGATCACCAATAAATAAACTTTGCAGCGGGTTAATAAGAATCTGTTGAACTTCAGTAACTTCTGTTTAGTTGGTAGCAAATAGGTGCTTTTACTGAACTCTATTTACGAGAGACTCATGTGAAAAAATTAATGAGATATGCCTTGGGTCTCTCCAGTCAGTTACATTAGTAACTAGCTACCTAACCACACGACAGCCACTTAGGATAATTGAATGATGCCACGTGCATTGCATGTATCTTCTACTGGTCCATATATTACAGGACTTATTCATAAATTAATGATACAGTGGAAGTTGAACCATGCACTAACTTGGAATGCTATTTCATGAACTGGTTAGCAGTGCAATTGAGAAGTTTTTATGCCTCTTTTATAGAATGGGCCATCGCATATTCGTTTTAGCTTTGTTCCAAGGGTAGGTACTTTGCCTTTATGCCAAGCATGTTAATAGGTTAGATGTCGATAGGATTAAGCACAATTCAATTCTAAATATTATTACATATACCAGTCATCAGAGTTAGGTTTGAACTACGAATTTGATCTATTTTATATTCTTGAATTAGAACTAGTTTGTTTAGAAAATCTAAATCTGATATCCATTCAATTTCAGGAATAACCTGTCAGATCTTAAGTCAGGCAGGTAGCTAAAGATCATGATGTAGTAGTGTCTAAGAAATTACCAAGTATCCACTAAGTATTACAAATTACAGATGCAACTGGATTTGAATATTAAGGGGCCATTGATTGGTGTAATGCAATAATGGTAAAGGTTCAAGCTGCTAAGCATTAGAAAGTGGGTTCAAGTATGAGAACAGTCAATTTGTACAATATAGTACTGTTAGTGTAGTCTGTGTTCAGTCTACCCATCCTAATATCCTGCATGGGAGGAACCAACCTAGGTAATAATTTAAGTTTGTAAATTAATCAAATTTTCTATCCTTTTAACCTTTTCCCATTGATTATTCTCATATTACACAACTTAGATGATCAGAAAGATTAATAATGAGTTCAATATGGTTTTACTAGATGAAATTTAGGCACAATGAACAGTCCTATTTTGGATTAAATCTTTTTTTGGCAACAATTTAAATAATGGTAATAGAGTTGTACTGGTGACTGTCGTAGTGAGTCAGATACTATGTGATTGACATAACTTAATGGGCGCACTTACTAGAATTGTTAATTTTTTATTTTTTTATGTCATGCAACTCTTCAAAATATACCCTTTAGACATGTTTAAATTCCAAAATCCAATAAATTTGAATTTTAGTTTTTTTTTTGATAAACAACAAGGCATATAAGAGTTCCAAAAGGGGGACACGGCCCACTCACTACAAGAATTTTAGTTATTAGGGACAAAAAAAATCATTCCTAAAATTACTAAAAATTGTCCCTATTACCTTTTAGGGACGGTTAATGTCACCGTCTCAATTAGTTGCGTCCCAAAAGGGTTTTAGGGACGGACTAATTGGGACAGAATAAAAATCCGTCCCAAATACTTATTTGGGACGAAAGATTCGCCTCCGTCCCAATTAAGTATTTGGAACTGACGTTTTTTTGTACCAATTAAATATTTGGGACGGTTGTTTTTCTGTCCCAATTAAGTATTTGAGACTGTTGTTTTTCTGTCCCAATTAAGTATTTGGGACAGAATTATTTGTGTCCCTAATTCCATTTTATTATTATTTTTTTAATGGTGGTATTCCCGGCTAGTATTTCAGTAGTCCAAATTTCTTTTTGCCTATCTGTTATATCTTATATATCCATTGCTCATTCATTAAAACTATAAAGAAGGTAAATGTAAAGTAAAAATTAATACAAAAAAGTTAAATTTAATAACCATTAATTAAAAAACAAAGTGATATCAATTATGGTCGTATCAGTACCTAATAGCATAATATGTAAATATCAATAACATAGTTGGAATCATTCATCATTTGTTGGTGATGTGTACGAACCAAACGGGTCAAACATTGGTGGTTGCGGATTATTTAATAGGCTGCCAAAAGGTCCATAAGGAGGCTGCTGCTGCTGTGAGCTGCCAAGTGCAGGACGATATCCGCCGAATGGTGTGAACATGTGAATTGAGGAGAAGACACTCTTTGATTCTCCAAGATGCCTTTCACAGTTGCCTTCAATTCATTTACGGATTCCATCAATTCATCATATTTTTGTTCCGCTCTATTAGACTTCGTCCTTTCAGCCTCCAACTCTGCCTCCCACTCTGCATTTGTCTTCCTCTTACGACTTGAGGATTTTGGAGTCTTCTTTCCATAACCGAAGCCACGAAAATATGTACCCTTTCTTGTTCCAGGACGGTTCTCCAAAATCTGCTCATCCACCAGGACTGAACTACTAGCATCCACATAAACAGATGGATCTAATAATTGGGCCACCATTTTGTCCTGCATTTTGCAAAATAAATTTAGTAAATTAAATGAACAATTATCAGCCATCTCCAAACACATCATACTACAATTATTAACAAAGCACTTTACTTAAATTTTCACCACTCATCCACCAACACATCATACTAATAATGTTTCATCAATTTCCATTTCTACAGCCCCAACACAGATAGAAAACCAAGCCATACGGTGAAATGAAACATAAAACCAAACACAGATAGATAAATTGCAGAGAGGAGTGGTTTTAGTGTGAAAATTAAAAGAGAGCCAGGAACAGAACTGGGGCTTTTTAACTTTCTAGAACAGTCATTAATTGTCTTCAATTATTTGTGTGAAGCAACTTAAAATTATTGTCTCCTCTAGTTCTCCATTCTCTTCACCAACATTTGGAGATCAAAACAGATAAAATGAAAAGAGGGATTTGCTTAGCCTTAATTTAAAGTTGTTGTTAACTAATTCCTCAACAAAGTTCCATAATTAGCATTCAATCCAAGAGGATTTATTGCGTATGGTCCCCTTTGGAGTACCAAAACCACCTAACATCACGACTAACTTTTTCACCATGCCTACTGGAAGAAACGTCACTACCAGAACCACGTTCTCCGACACGTGACATTCTTCAATTTTGCTAATAAAAAATAAAATGTCTGTCTGCTTCTATTGTTGCATGAAAACATCTTCTTAATTAGCAAATTTCTATTAATTGAGTATCATGGAGTACTTATGAAGTATATATATATAGCTGAAAGCTAGGGAATTTTCTCTTATCCCTGAAAACATCTTCAGTGAAGAAATGAAATCGCAAGTCACAAATTTCATTATAACACAAAGCATAACTATATTGCATATTTTGATTAGTGTCCCATTTAATTTTGTGGGAGATACTGTAAACTCAATTCCAATGTAAATCAGTTTTTCAATTTCTCAACATGGATTCCAATTTTTTGTCTTTTCTTCATTTGAGGTCATTAATATTTCAACATGTTGATTTCAAATTTCAGTTTCGGGATGTTAAACATAGCCCACCTACGTATATGGATTCAATTGCTATTGTTTGCATAAAAATTGAAAAAGATAAAAAAATTAAAAATAAACTAGTTGCTAAATCACATACCTAATATATATATACATGCCTCTGAAAATTGGGGGAAATTTATCATAAGTGTGGAGGCCATTGAAGAAATTACGCACACAATAACCGTAAGATTGATTGCGAAAACTTATGGATAGTTGACGATTTCAATCACCGATCGAGAGAGAGAGAGTGAGCTCCGATTGACGCGAGAGAGATTAGAAGCAGCAGAAAAGCAGACCTTCCAAATTCAATCGATCCTCCTCACTATGCTTCTACAAATGAATTCCTTCTTAGCTCTGGTTTTTTGTATGTGTATCGCTTCACGCCGAGAAGAGTGTGGCAAGCTGAACCGGCATGAAGCAGCTGCAACTGCTGCGGCGCCGTCGGCTGTACAGAGAGAGTATGTAAGTGAGAGAGATGAGAATGAGAAGCCGAACTGGCCGGCGTGAGATAGTTGCAACTGGTGCGGCGTTGGTTGTACAGAGAGTAGATAGATGATATATGTTGTTAGGTCAAGTTGTATAGTGAGAGAGATGAGAATGAGAAGAGAGAGAAAGTGGGTTTACAACTTTACAATACCCAAAACGGTGTAGTATGGAAATTTTTTAATATTTTGCGCGTGGAAATTCGGAATTAGGGAGGGAGGAAAATCAAGCGTCAAATTTTCCCAAGTATACAATGCAGCCAAATTTCCCACCAAAAATATTCCCGGTTATTTTTTAGCTCATTTGGGACAGTAGATATGTTGTCCCAAAAACCAGGATCATTTGAGACAATTTTTAAGCCGTCCCAAATAATCTGTCCCAAGAGCCTCATTTTCCCACCAAAAATATTCCCGGTCATTTTTTTTCCTCATTTGGGACAGTAGATATGTTATGGTCCCAAAAACCAGACTCATTTGAGACAATTTTTAAACCGTCCCAAATAATCCGTCCCAAAAGCCTCCTTTTCTTGTAGTGACTACTGCTCAAAACTATAGCCTCAAGCTATCCACAAAAGACAAAAGAATCTCCATAGATTTACAATGAGAACTCTGTAACCACAAGACTAGAGAACTAAAAACAAAGTATTTAACCACTCCCCAAGGAGACTACACCCATCAAAGGATCTCCTGTTCCACTCATTTCAAAAGAGTCCACCATAAGCAAAGAGTTGTTGCTCTCTGCAAATATTTGACTTGGGGACGCACATGGCAGCCACCCCAAGAGTCGATCAGGCCCAACGCATTTCAAGCATGGCCCACTAGATCCCAAAAATGGTACAAAGCATATCCCAGCCATCCCTAGCTCTGGAACAATGAAGAAGTAGATGGTCCGCCGAATCCTCAGCCTGCTTGCTCATACACACCAATTGACAATAATCTGCCGTCTCCTTATCAAATTGTAAATGGTCAAGATCCTCCCCAAAGCCGCTGTCCAAGCATAAAAGGCCACCTTCAGGTGGGCTTGCGAACACCAAATTCCTTTCCACAGAAAGGACATCCCTTGAGAATCCATCAGCCGACGGTAAAATGAGCAGACCTCAAACCTCCTGTGACTCATACCCACCTAGAGCCCACTCATTCGTCCCCCCTCCAGATACAGTCTGACTATAAAGCACAGCTAAAAACTCAACTCTCTCCTCCACTTCCTAATCATACAAAAATCTCTCAAACTGAACATACTAGGACAGTCTCTCGCCATCAAGATATACAAAAATCTCTCAAACTGCACGTCCTAGGACAGTCTCTCACCATCAAGATGATAGCAATGAGTGACCATCGCTTGCCTATCAATTGCAATCCCAACCATCTCGAAAAGAATCTCACAAGTGGTCTCTCTCATCAACATGGGTCATCGCAAAATCTGACAAGGCGCCCATCCCTCACCCTGTAGTGAATTTGTTTGGAGAATTCATCCGAACCCTTCTGGATGCTCTTCCACAATCCAACCGTCAGGGACCTCAATTGCAAAGAGCACCAACCTCCTCTATCCTCACCATATCTATGGCAGTTTACCCTCCTCCATAACCTGTGCCTCTCTACCCCAAACCTCCACAGCCACTTGCCCAACAATGCTTTGTTAAACAAGTCCAATCTCCTCACTCCCAACCCATCCGCCTGAATGGGTCTACATATTTGCTCCCACGGTCCCACCCCACAAGATGGTATTTGAACTCGTCTCCCATGTCGCCGCACAAAAAGATAATATGCAATCTCCCTATCCTCCTCGCCACAGAAGCCGGGATTGGAAAGGGACATAAAATAAGTAGGGAGACTTCCACCCAGCCTTCCGCCTCTTGAATCATTGCACAACTGGATCCCATGACGAAGCTCTCCTCGCCTGGGGACTCCCATCGATAGGCCCACAGGAAGGTCCCCACCCTGGAACACAAAATGTTGGCCAGAAAATCAATCTCCTCCACCGCCCCCACAAGCACATTCTTGCTCTTTTCAAGATTAATCTTCAGCCTCGAGATTGCCCTAGTTACTTCAATTGACTCACCTTGGCATCACAGAACACATTAGTGTCATCTGCAAAAAGTAAACGAGATATCTCCATCTGGCTAGAGAGATCCCTCCCCACCCTTAAACCTCTGAAATAGCCCAACTCAGCCACTCGTCTCATTAGAGTGATGAATTTGTTGCATTCTAGAAGCGGTAGCTTCCTTCCTCCTTCATTCCTATTGCCTCATTCGGTGATAAGTTCCCTTCCCTTTTCTAAAATGCCTGAGTGGTCTGCTCAGCAAATGTACAAAGTGGACCTGCTCGCTGTTTGGCTGACCCTCTTCTTCCAATTCAGGTTGGGTTGACCCAGAAGTATAGTAAGAAGGAATGGAACCACTGGAGAGTCGTTTGCAGTTCACACTTGGGCAAAGACGAGTTACTTTGGAAGCGGAACAAGAACTGATTTCTGCTATTCCGGGTTTTTATTGAGCGTAGCGAAATCAAGGTTTATGATAAAGTCAGCAAAGTTCCTATGGTTTTCTACCTTTGCGCAGTCTTGGTCCAGAGTGTAAGGCTCCGCATCTGAGCCTCGTTAGACTCAGCAGAAGTGTAAGTTGTAAGGGAAGAGAATAGAAGAGATTAAGTTCGTCCCTTAGCCTAGTCTATATCCACAGCTGACGCAACTCTGTACTGATGCCTCACTACTGCACTTTTTCAATTGGTACTTGAATCTTGAATCCTCAACCTCCTCTTCGGGGAGATGGAGGAGATACCACTCAAGTTAATGCTTGGTGGTGAGAATCTAAATACCTTTTACTTTTCACTGCATTTAGGATAAAAATGCACCTAAACAAGAAAAAAGAATTTCAAACTTGTGATAGTTAGATTTAGGCATTTAGGAAATGAATTGTACTTGACCGAGGCTATGGCCTTAAATTGAGCGAGATGGAAACATAGGACTGATGTAGCCGACCCCAAGTAATTGGGAAAAGGCTTGGTTGTTATTGTATGAAATGAATTGTATATAAAAATAAAAGGAGTTTAAATAAGTGAAGATGCCTTCCTATATTTTCATACGATTCAAATATAGAAATAGTATATATTTCTGTAATAAGAGAAAATTACAGAATCTGGTTCTATATAATTGTGGATTTTTCTTATATACATATTTTCTACTGATTATTGAATAGAAGAACATAATACCTTGGGGTATAAAAGTAACAGTCACTTTTCAAAACTCCCTCACAGTTCCTGATCAACTATATTTACATAACAGGACTATATCTCATTTACTTTTCGTCCATGAAATTTGTCATTTCCCTCTCAATTTTCAAAACTGAACATCATAGAGCCCTTCATTAACGGCTTCCACCACCATGTTTTTCCTTTTGACCTCCTCCAACTCGATTGCAATGTTGATCTCCACCTCCTCTCTCAGCTATTGATTGTGAAATCTGGGACAAGATCTACCAACAATTTTTTAAAATCTAACATCAAACAGCATATGAATTCAAGTGAAAATATAAAAAGGTTAAAAAAAGGTTTGAAACTTACCAATCAACTATAATGTCCCAACCATTTGATTCAAGAAATAAGATTAGGTCCTGTGTATTATAGTGTTTGGTGAGGATATCTAGTCTTTCTGTTGCATTGGGTTTAGCAGCTGAATTTATGATAAAGAGTAGGAAAAAAGTGTCAGAAATGAGGTTCATAGATTTTACTTACCGAAACCATCATTACTGTGCTGTAATGGCACATAAACAGCCTTGTAACATCTTAAATGTAACTGTTGTGAAATTATAGTAGTTACGAAATGATGATAAAAGTTCAAGGTAAATGCTTGCTTACTGATTTTCTTTCTCTCTCTCTCACAAAGATGTGCTTGTGCGCATAGTAGATACGAAAGGTTTATGTTTATTTATTTATTTTCCTGTGTGTATTAAGGGGAGGGTGCATGTGCTACTAGCTTTTGAAAATAAAATGTTGTTTGTTTATTGTTCTATATTTGATTTATACTCTGTTAATTTTGCAGGAGAAATTGGCATCGGTTGAGGAGCTTGAACCTTTCATTAATCATTCAACTCAAATGGCTGCACTGGACTATATTGTATCAGTTGAGAGCGACATATTTATTCCATCTTACTCGGGAAACATGGCAAGGGCTGTTGAAGGTCATCGTCGTTTTCTGGGACACAGGAAAACTATCTCTCCTGACAGGTAAGATTTTATTATTTAGAGCACATACAGATTTTCATGAACAAATCATTACCCCAACATGTTTAAAAATGTCTCCTTTTCTTTTCTTCATCCATCAGGAAAGCCCTTGTTCATCTTTTTGACAAAGTTGAGCTGGGAATAATGAAAGAAGGCAGAAATTTGTCAAATCGAATAATTGAAATCCATAAAAGACGGTATGTGAATGTGATCATCTCTTCAGCCACAACTGTTAAGTACAATGTTATGCGAATTGTTTATTGTAATTGTGAATGGTAAAAAATAATGTAACTGTGGTTCTTTTGGTTTGGATATCCAGACTGCCGCCATTCCCTAAGAAGATTGGTTTATTTTTAAATCATTTCATATATAGTACTTATTTAAATATACACACAAGAACTTATAGCTCTATAAGCACACCACATAATAATCATTCCCATGCGGTTCTCATATTTTTGGATATTCCGAAATGGTATGTGGTGTTATAAATATAAGCCTCAAATTTGACACCTGTATGCTGGCATTTTTTTTTTTTTCTGTGTATTATTTCTTCACCATCTTTCCTCTTACACTACCTTAGTTGTTAGAAATGGGGAATGGGACAAGAAGTTGGGTCTTATGTCGATTGCCAGTAGCCTTCACTTCTCTTTTCTTATTCTGTTTACTTTCAGGGTACTCCGGCCTAACCTAAATTCTAGTCCATAGGTAAAAAAGGTTGGACAAAACCCCTTTGGCACTAAAAGGAGAATACTTCCATCACTTCAACTCCCCGCCAAACGGGTGCAACCTTAAACGACTAGGCCACACCAGCAGTAGGAAGTACATACGGTGAGGTGGCGTAGGGGGGGGGGGGGGGGGGGGGGGGGATATTGACATGTACAATGATTGTTAGTTGCATGCATCATATCTAAGTTAGATTCCACAAGAGAAATGGTGTACGACTTTGAAATAATTTTCTTAAGTTCAGATTTCATGACATGAGTTACAGTGCTCTATTATTACTAAAGTTGGTTTTTGTTTCTTTGTGTTGGTTGAACAGGCAAGGGTCTCCCAGGAAGAGAAAAGGCCCTATTTCAGGGACAAGGGGCATGGATAGATTCCGTTCAGAAGAGGCATTCTATGTGAACCCTTTACCAGATTGCTTATGCCGGATGAACACCTCTCTAGTTATTAGGTAGATGAGAATCGAGAGGATTCCTTTGAAGAAACATCTCCCATTGGTGGGTTGGTGGCACGTTCGATTTATATTATCTAATGAAAGCTTGAGAAGCTGGTTTTGCCATCATACAAGTTATAGGGGTCGCAGAGTGTGTATATTGAGGCTACATCACTAGGGCAATATATACGTGTAGATGAAAAAGGAAGGATCGCGGTGACATTTGTGACTCTGAGACATGCCTTCTCTTTCTATTATGAAGGCTCATTCATTTAGACTGGGAAATGGTTCCAAGTCTTAGTAGAATAGGAGAAAGGGGATTCTTGGGGATACAATACTGGGATTAGTGCCAATGTTGCAATAACATGGTTTTTTTTGATGTATCTACTTCAATCGGGGGACACTCAATGCAATAAAAGAAGAGAGAATTGATCGAACGGCCATTCTTTATCCTTTTTACTTGGTATTTTATATAGATGTCAGTGTAAATAATGAGTTTCTTTGGAGTGTCTGAATTCATCCAAGGTTTCCTCTTTCTGTGTATTTTTGATCCAGTTCTCTTCTTTCTCAACAACATTGAGCATCTTACATAGTGAATGCAGTCATTTACTCGGGGACCCTTTTCAACAAGAGCAGGATGTAAAGAGAGTGATTACCCCCGTCCCTTTTTGTCGATGACGGTGGTGTGTGGTTTTTTAAAGCATCCAATAATTCACTACCGGACACATGCAGTCTCCCTGTCCCACATGCATTGGGCAATTACCAAGAAAATTCCTTGACAGTGATTAACTGAAACCAAAACATTTCCAAACAATGCTTTGTTATCATGATTCTTAGATGAAAGCAATACAAAGCTTCCTGCAATCAAAATTTAGAACATATCTACATCGGCCATCAAATGTATTAGTACGATCATGGAAATCATACAGCTCCTCTGTTCTTGTACCTTGATGCTTGGTTAATGAAAAAGTTTGTCACAACGTGTTCAGAGTGCAAGTGTGCAACCCAGATATAATTTACTTGAGAATATTTGGAATTCTTAATATTATTTATTTTGAAATACTACATTGATGGTACTCACACGGACTGTAACTTTTTTTTCTTCATTCAGCGATCTGTGTACCATTCAAAGTCGAAATGGATATTTGAGGATAGAGGGACTCCAATCCCATACATATAAACTAAGCTAATCATACTGGCATCAACGCCCATTATAACCCAAAAAGAAGAAATTTCGTAGAATAATCTCAAAATTAATTGTAATTAACTCAACAAGCAAACTTCTTTAACCTTTTGATAAACTAAACACTTGCATCTGCCAAAAATTAAAATGCTGGATCTTGCGGATACAATTTCTAATATAGAATGTAAATGTATCATTCCATCATTTTATCTTGATTTGGGAGTAATGGCCTCAAGCCCACCCATGAAGGGTCTTAATGGCTCAGGAATGACAACAGAGCCATCTTCTTGCTGGTAGTTCTCAAGCAAACATACAATCATCCGAGGAACTGCGCAGGCTGTTGCGTTTAATGTGTGCACGAACTGTGTTGGAGCAAGATTGCCTTTACCCTTTTTAGGATTTGCTGATGATGATTCTGGACGGTACCGGATTCCCAGCCGGCGGCTTTGATAGTCGGTACAGTTTGATGCACTTGATATCTGTTCAAAATGATGCAGCATGCAGGATTAGAAGATTGCGAAACTCGATTCTAAAAGAGGTAATAATAAGGAAAAATTTGGCTGCATTTCCTGCTCATTTGATGAAGTAAAACCTTTTGGATGGCAACCATCCAAAAAGATTCTCATTAACCAATCTTAAAAATAAACAAAGACCTCAAATTTAAAAAGCTGTAGAACTTATAACTGAGACATAAATCAATTTGGCATGTAACATTTCCAGGCTGGTAATTTTGTTTTTGAGTAATATATGGTTAGATTGAAATTTTATATTAGTGAAGAATACGAGTGCATAACATATGAAACTTAAAAATTTGCATACCTCACCATACCGTCCTAGACCTGGCATCCATGCCTCTACATCATATTTACGATAAGCAGGTGCACCCAAATCCCCTGTAGCCATGTCCAGAGTTCTGCCAACACAATGTTGCCACTGTTATACACATGGACCAGAAATACGATTGATAATGAACAAATGAAATTGATAAGAATAATAAATCCTCACTTAAAATGAAATCCTAGTGATGAGAAGAGATCCTCTTCAATTCCAATTAGTTCTTCATGGTATGAATCACTTTCCTCTGGTCGGCATAGGATAAACATCTCCACCTTGCTGAATTGGTGCACTCGATAAAGGCCCCTGACCCAGAATTGCCACTAATTACCAAAATGATGCAGAAACGAGAAAAATACACTGTAATACTCAGTCTGCTCGTTAATAGGAAAGCCCAAAGCATGGATTAAACAACCACTTTTAGTGCATATATGGCATGTGTTCAGACACTAGTGTGCATGACTCTACTCAACAGGTTTTATCCAGTAGACCATAACCAAATATTTTAAAGACAAAAAAATAAAGCAGAGAGCTCTGTGTGAAATGTAATTCAGGGACTAATTAATAAGGTAGCACCACAACTGATTCAGGGACTAATTAATAAGGTACCACCGCAAGTGAATTATATAGTACAACTATTTTAACTACTGTATGGGAACTTGGTAGTGTGCCACATGCAGGTGACAACATTTCATCATCAATGATTCAACTATGACAAGACTCCAAAAGTATTAGCAATTAGAAAGGTATTGCCTGGCGAATGCCACTAGTAGCAATTGCTGTGAAATGCTAGCATGTATAAAGCAAACTTTCCCGTGTTTATCAGAACCGATCAATGCATTGGTCCTTGACACATTTCTGACCAAAATACAGCTGCACAGAAGGTATGCAACCATTGCAATAGAATGATAATAAAACAAACATATCAATCCAAACCCTTTCCCAACCCATCGAACCCCCTAAAAAAGAAATAATAATAATAATAATAATAAAAGGAAAGAAAAGAGGCAGCAGAAGCATAGGAGACCTCAAGTATTAATGATGATGATAGAGAAGTCAAACGAAAACCATTTCGAAAAATCAAACGGGAACTTGAAAAATTCACATTTGTTGTCCAACTGCACCAGAGATAGAGAGACCAATGTAACTCAAAGAAAGAGTTAAAGGTACCTTCACACATAAGAAGTAATCCACACGACTTACCTTGTTGCCGCACCTGCAGCACCAGCTTCAGTACGAAAGCAATGGGATAAAGCCACGTACTTCAAAGGTAACAACGATTCAGCAAGAATGGAATCCATATGAATTCCACCCACTGGTATCTCTGCAGTGCCAATAAGGCATTGGTCACTATCCTCAATAGAATAAACCTGCCAGTGTATGCCAAAAAAATATCAGCCAATTTTCCTATTTGCTTATAGAAATATCAATCAATTGCAATCAACTTATACCATACTCAGCCTAAAGAAAATAATACAGCTCTCCAAAGGAATATGTCTAGAAGCCAAGTTCCCCACCTCTCACCCACCACCACCCCTAATGCACAAAGGGACTATGGCATCACAGTCTAGCAAGTTGCACTAAATTTTTTCCAATGTCATAAAAAATACCAAACCCTTACCCTATCCTCAGGAACAACTCTTCACCAATAACAACTACAAGTAACAAAAGATGTTCTACTTATATTTATGTTAACAGGTTTGAAGGTTTTACTGGTGAGGAAATGGGTCAGTACAAACTACAACATAGTACATCCACTTATTTTCCTGATTATAGAAAATGAGAACTATTCAGATCTAAAATAAATTCAAAGCAGCCTGTTCAATTACCGCTAAAACCAGTTCACGATGTAACTGTTTTCACCATTTAAAGCACAGCCAAGGATATATGTGAAGCTGAAGAGTGAAGTGTCCAGGTCATGGTCATATGGTCCAACCAATGAATTCATCAACTTAGTGTCGGATGACCCATGTTACATAAATCCCAAGGTTTGTTCATCACACACTTTGGCAGCATTGACATTTTAGAAGAGTGAGTCACTGAACATAGCAAGATCTACAAACCTGAGTATTTGTTCCACGAGGTTGGAAGCCACATTTTTCTACAACAGAGGATCTCACAATTTCTGGGGTTGTAAGAGGAATAAAGCCCCTTTTCATGACTTCAGAGACTGTCCAGTTTAGTAGTCCCATCTCTAGCATAACTGCTTCATTCTTCAGATAATAGAATTTTGACCCACTGACCTGTATTAATTGAATTAAAGCCAGAGGAACAAGCTCCCTATTAGAAAGTTGCAGTAAATAGAAAGCAGGGCAGTCCAATGCACTAAGTTGCAAACAGATGCATATTGACCATATAGATGCAAATGGCTGAAAGGGCATTCCAGCAGACTATGATACCTGAAGTCTATATGATTGACAAACAAGTTTCCGAGTCTATCAAATTAAAGAGCAAAGGGTAATTCTCAACTGATAGTCTTTCCTCTACTCAACTTCTCAAACAGATTATATGCCATTTGGATTGGCACAATACCAGAAACCAATTTTTTTACACACTAATTCCCAATTCATATCTACCACATGCACATTTCTATGCATAGAAAGAGAAGAAGGGTATACATCGTCAATTATGCTCAGTAAACAAATGACTAAATAAGGGGATAACCAAGATACTGGTTTAGAATAAGCCAAAATTTTAATGCTGCACAAAAATTATTCATTAGCACGTGCACAAGTATGAATCCTGATAGAATTTCCATAGAAATCTTAGCACAAGAAAATAAGTTTTCACTTGACAAGCATACTTGACCATATTGCGGATATGCACAAAAGCCAATGTTCCCCACCACAGTCACACTTGCAATGATAAGTCAAATATTCAAATCCAGATAAATACACACAAACACACTGTTTTTGGGCATAAAGTTTTTCAGCTATTGTACAAAGCTCCCATCATTTCAATAAAACAAAATAGCCTCCAAATTAATCAACTAATGCTGCATGAATACCATGGAATAGAAAGCATACCTCGGAAGCAGCATCAAAATCAAAGAGATCTAGTTCTTTCCCAAGTTGAACGTGATCCTTAATAGGGAAGCCAAATTCACGGGGTTTACCAACCTACAATATATTTTAGTAAAAAAAAATAGAGAATGAAAAGGAAAGCTGAATAATTGATGTCCATCCTTGAGAAAGAGAGGTCATAAAAAATACCAATTTCCTTAATGTTGAAAAATCTTCCCCTCCTACAGGAACATCTGGGTGAGTCATATTTGGTATACATTGTGCTTCTTGCTGAAGTTCGTCTGTCAGTTTCAGCAGGTCTTCTTCCAAAGTAACAAGCCCTTCCTTTATGTTCTTTCCTGAATTAGAAGTATATCAGAGGGCCAAAGAAGACAATTCAAATCATAATCTTACAAGCTTGATATAAAATTCCAGTGCATACCTTCTTCAATGAGTTTCTGACGCTCTGGCAGTTCCAACTTTCCTTTCATCTTGTTTGCAACCACATTTCTCTCAGCACGAAGCCGTTCAACTTCCTGCTATCTGTGATCGACAATTAGCTAAAATTCAGAAGAAACAGGTTCGTCTTAAGCTGTTAAGCTGTGCATGTGATGTATTATAGATCAAAATTCAAGAATTGTAATTCAATTCACTGTCTATTGAAAAAGAGTGACCAGTGTGCCAAAAATGTGTGTATATATAATCACAGGCAAGACGACAATATATCTATAAGGAGTAAGTATGACATTCTAGTTGAGATGAGCAATCCACAGCATGCAACTTTTCCTATTGGGGTCTTTCAAAGTTATTCTCCAATTTCAAGGCTAATATATGAGCCAGCAGTAAGCATGGAATTCTTCTCTAGCTAAAAGAATTATTATGCCAGGTCCAAGCAGAACAAATAGTAACAATGAAAATAGTAGAATAAAAAGAGGATCAAACAGTAAACTTTTCCACTCATAGACCTAATTTTAGGTTTTTTGGTATCCCTGTACAACAAGTTATAATGGAATTACAAGGTTCCATTCTGTCCAAAGGCTAAACTGCAATGAATGTTGGAAGGATCTAAATTCTCAAAGGAGTGAAACTCATTGCCCTTAAACTCCATTGGCCACTTACACACCACTCAAAATACGCATACAAAAATGCGAAGGGACTACACACAATTTTTTAGAAGTTAAACCCCATGGACGGAAACAATTTTAGAACAACAGGTTACCATGGTACAGAACTCCATAAGATTATTTCATGTTACTAATCTCTAAATAAGAAGAGACCTTCATAATCTGCTTATACATAATACAAAGCCATTACTGCTTCAAGTAAGCACATCATTTTAGTAATTTCAACAGTTCTATCACTTCCATGCTAAAACGAGTGCTTACAAAGTAATAGTACTCAATATCTTGGGTAAAATCCTACTATCCTTCCTTCATCTCTCACTCACAATTTGATGCTTATTGCAAAATTCTGTGAATGATCTAGCAGCAGCTCCAACTATTTTATCAACTAATGTCATTCAATTAAGATTTTCAATATACATTGGTAAAATCTGGCTTGATTTCAATTATTTTATGTTTACACATAAGAACTTCCATTAGAGAGCAACTATTTTTCTCTTCAAATATTTTTAATTGGTTTTAGCTAATTGCTTGAATATGTTCAACTAAGAATTGACTAGAAGATACCATGATAAAACATATATTGCTCTCTAATTATAAAATGAGAGTGCAGCACATTTCAAGAAAAGAAACACTTTTATCAAATGATAAAATGATTGGAAAATAAAGCTGAAAAGTTAATCAGAAAACAACAGAACCCTAACCTTTTGAACATTTAACAACCTTTCGTAGAGATCAACTACCAGTTCCAAGTTAGCATTGGAGTTCCTGTTCTTTATGTTCACCGCAATCGCTGCCTTATTGTCTCGAATCCACTTGAAATCTATTGCCGCTTTCCATTGAGGTTTCACAACTATAACACAATCATTAAAAAAAAAAAAATTAATAAATAAAATCCAAATTAAATCAGAATAATGGTTTGTTTAATTGCTTAACACAATCATTAGAAATGAAACGAGTTCAAAGTTCCGGTTTTATATTGTCCAATGCATTCAACAACCAACCAAAAAAATAAATACGAATAAAAAATAAAAAGAAAAAGCTCAATTAATTGACCAAAGTGAACCTAACACAACTCCAAAGTTATAAGATGTAGAAATCGCATATATGCACATATCTAGATATATATATATATATATACACACACACACACACACACACACATACTGACCTTTATCGTTGTGGATTGTGATTGGAGTAGTTTGGACAGCTGGTGCTGACAGAGCTCTGACGATGAATGGAAGCAAACGTTTTGGGGGAGAATGGAGGCGGGAAAGAAGTAGGTCTAGGGTTAGGGTTTTGGAGAGTGGTCTGAAAATGGAGGAAGAGTGTGACGGAATTGCTGCGAGTTTCAGAGTTTGAAAGGTCGTCCCGTTAAAACAACACTGCAATCCCATAGCCTCAACTTCAGTCTGTGTGTGGAGTTCGTGTGTTTTGAAAGGTAGCGTCTGTTTGGAGTTCGCAGTGAGGATTAGGTAGATTTTATCTTCCGACTACGATCCTCGAGGTTGAAAGCCCAACCCTTTGAAGCCCACAGCCTTTTAGCCCAGTGATATAATTTGTGTTTCATGTTTGTAAAATGTCATTTATAAATACTAGTCAAAATAAAAATAAAAATAAAAATAAATTGTTTTAGCAAAAAAAATAATAATAAATGATTTTCACCCGTTAACCAAAAAAAAAAAAAAAAACTTTTATGGCTTGTCGCCGTCACCGGAACTGACGTACACCGGCGTAGAGCTCTCCGGATTTGTCGCCGAACTGTCTTTGCTATTTTTATCGCTACAATTAGCCTGTCTTTGCTGGGTTCATGAGTGTGTGAAATTGACTGTAACATACCCATACAACACCACCACCACCACCACCAATCCACCACCACCAATCCACCATCACCATCGATCCACCACCACCAAACCAGGAAAATAGAGCGGTGTTAGACCACCACTCCACCACCACCACCGAGAAGACTGAGAACCTTGAAACTTGGTCAAGTAGAGCGGTGTAAGACGGAAACCGCTGAATGCAATTCAGTGAGTGAAGACTGTCGGGTTTGTGATGATCGATTCGACTGTTACGCCAAACTTCATCGGAAATCTCAGCCTCCGGCTAATTTAGGAGCGACGCAGATTGATTCTCAAGAAGTCGAAGAAGAGCAGTGGAGGAACCCTACCAATTCCGGGTGGTATGGACATTAATCTTTGAATTTCATATCCATATTGAAACGATTTGCCCCTATTTTGTTCGGATTTGTCTCCGCAACTCGCGGATTCAAATTGGTCCATAAACGGTTTAATCCAACCAAAATAAGCACAAAATCGACCAAACAAGAGCTTGATTGAAAAGTTCTAATTTAACTCAATCAAACCCTCAACAAACTGTGTCAACAAGCATATATGAAGCTCCCTTATAGCATCTCCAATGTGCTCTTGGAATTTAGACTATCCGAATTTGTCCGGTATTTTTCAATAGTCATCTCAACATTTTTTATAGGCACGTCAAATTTTAGTTATTTGATGTACATTGTATTTTTGCTCTCCAATTTTATTAATATTTTAATATTTTTTAAATTTTTAATAAAATTAAATTTTTAATTTTTATTATATTTTTAAAACGTTTATATCATACAAAAAAATTTAAACAATATAATATTTATTATTAAAATAATAGATACAACATGAATTTAAACAACACAATAAAAATAAAAAATAATATAACACGACATGAATTTAAAAATAATAATAATAATACAATATCATTATTAAAATCAAATAGGAAAAACATAACAATTAGGAAAAATAGAATAATCATATGGAATGTTTGAGATCTTATTGAAAGCTTGAGTTACCGTGTGAGCGTATAGATGCTAATATTTCATTTTGGCGTTCAATTAGCCATACTTTCCCGGCTTGTGTTGGCATCGATTCTGGATCTTTCTGCATGATTAGCATTTCTTCAGCTCTTTGTTTGTTTTCAATCTTCTTAGTTTGCTTTGAAGTTCGAGTTGTCTGTTCTTTTTTTTATTTGTTTTGCGTGTCTCTTGTGCTATTTGAGCGGCTTCAAGACTTTCAGATTTAGATTTAAAAAGGGATGTTGCATGATCGAATTTGCTAATGAAATCATTCTGAATTTGGTTAGAACATTTATCCTTACTTTGCTTCTGCTTCGTTGCTTTTCGTCCTTGTGGTCGCTGATATTCTTCAACATCTGTCAAATCATTTTTGCCTATGTGCGCTAATCTTTCAACTAAACTTGGTGTCGTTGCTGCATTACTTGATGGAGTAAATGCGTTTGAGCAACCAATAGACTCACTATCATAAATGTGGATTCCACTCATCTTTTTCGGTTGTTGTTGTCGTTTTTTTTTTTTTTTTTTTTTTTTTTTTCATGTCAATTCTTTTTGACAATGTAAATGCCATTTATTGTTGCTCTTCAAAATGTTCCAACAACTGTTAAACTTAAATTTGGTATTATTTTGATGAGCGAACAACTCTTTGGCTGCAATCATCTAAAAAAATAAAAATCAATAATTATTAGAAGATAAATCTTTAAAATATCTACCAATTAAATTTAATATAATAAATAACTTACCTTATACTCATTGTCTTGCCCACTGGGGTAATTCCTTTTGATCTGGGACATGCATCCAGAAAATTTGGTAATCATTTGTTGCATGAAGGACCAACGATTCAAATAGATGTTATGATTTCTTTTAGGTGTACTAGCACCACTAACGTGTTGCTCAAAACTTTCATGAATTCAGATTCATAACACTGTCTTTTGTTGGTCTGAACCGATGACCGCATCAATGCTAATGGCCATCCACGCATAACATAAAGCATCATCTTCAACCGTGGACCAATTTGGAGGCTGAATAACCCTTTGCTTTTCTGGGAGGTTAGGAGTTACTGGGTTGTGACACTTCAGTAGGAATGGGCGAAACTTGAGAAAGTGAGACGGAAATTGAGATTCTTCTCTAACAAATAAGAAGGGATCAAAAATATCATTTGATTGGTTGAATTGGGAGTTATAGTTGTAATATGGTGGTGTCGGATTCATGGAATTGAACTTGAGTAAAAATATAACTAAAAGATTGAGAAAATGACTTAGTAATTGTAGTTGTAGGTTGAAGACTAAAGAAAATGGGGTGGATATGAAGTAAATAATAGTAGGGGTTGATGTATTTATAGAGGAAAAATGAAAGTTTTTTTATATATAATTATTTTTTAAAAAAAAATTCAAAAAATAGGTTTTCATGCCGATATATACGTTAGTTATAAATGTCAGCCAAACAGTGCCTAAAACGGCTATATGTAAGTAGGAATATTTTAAAAAGTAATTTTTTTTTAAAAAAAAAAAACACTTTTCTCTTCTTCTTTTTTAACTTTTTTTGCCCAAAAAGCCTTTAAGGCACTGTTTGTGTCAGCCAAACAGTGCCTTAACGGCTCTTTGGTTCAATTATTTTGAGGAAAAAAAAAAAAAGAGACCAAAAGAAGCCAAAAGTTCTTTTATTATTATTTTTTTTTTTTATTTTTTTTTCAGGCAAACATGCCTTTAGGAACAATGTTATGGGCTAAAACACTGTTTTGGGCCAGAATAAAAAAAAACAAAAACAAAATTAATGCGAGCCCGCATGGCAGGCCTGCGGCTCACCAAGAGGTTCACAGTTTTCAGTGACCCATTTTGCGACCCAGTGGGTGGGGCCCAATTTTTGGCGATGCTATTGGAGGAGTCCAATAGCGAAATTCGGCCCAGAATCTCTGAATTTGAGACCATTGGACCTATTCTTACAGAAATGACTGTTTGGAGAGACGAAGCAGCCAAACAGTACTTTTTCGTAAGAGAAACAGAAATCCTCCGTTCTTTGGAGAATTGTATAAAGGTGCCAATTTAATAATCGGCGAGGGTCGTTTCCATGGACTGAAGCATTGGTTGGAGAAGACGACATGGTGCAGGCGCGTTGACAGTGGTGGCGACCAATTGGCTGTTTAAGGGTTATTTTTGTCCAAAACATAACCCCTTAAACAACCATCCGTTAAAATACTCCCTGATGATAGTTGAGGGGAGTTTTTTTGCTAAAACAATTTATAAGGGTGTTTTTTGTTAACAGGTGAAAGTCAAGGGAGTTTTTTTGCAATTCGCCCTCAAAATAAAAATAAAAATGGATACATTGTAAAAACATTTTATGAGCAATAACTATCACGTGTATTTAATATTAAATAGACTAATCTTCTTTTGCTCTAGTAGCTTTGGATCTTAATTCTGAAACTTGACTTAGGTTTGGAGACTAGTATATAAGGAAGAAAAGAAAAAAAAACGAAAAGAAAAGAAAAAGAAACGATAGTGTACTAAATTGATAATTAATTATTTATTAACTCATTTATATATTAATAATTACAACATAAAATTAAAATAATCAATAAAAAAGGTCATTTGGGTACCTTTTCAAAAAATTTAAATTCGATAACTGAAATGATAAAAATATTAAATAATGCACTAAATTGATATTAATTTATTTATTAACTTATTTACATATAAATAACTACAAATAATATTAAAATAACCCAATGAAAATGTCACTTGGGAGTTGGGGTGCCTTTTCGTTTTCAAATTCAATTACTGAAATGAAAAAGCTCTAAATAATGCGTATGATATGATTCATATGAATTTGCTGTTAGATGTGCCAAGTGAAGGTTTAGAATTTTTATGCTACAAAACTAATTTGTTGAAACCGACACTCATGATAATGTTTCATAAATTGAGGTCCAAAGTTGCGAAGTCTGGGCAATGACAGAATTGCCCGTGTATAAACCAACTATAAATAACAATCTGTGTTTGAAACCCTTGTATATCATCTCCCATAATCATTCCTTTTGAAATGGCAAGGTTTTCAAGAATACGCAAAATACCATTCTTATGCATGTATTATACAGACAAGTCCTTGCCAACAGATAAACTTGCGTTCACATGCTTTCTTCAGAAAGGCATTCATGCAAAACATTCATGCAGCTGGCTTTCTCATGTCTATAAGATTTAGCTAGCATTTCGTCGAAAAACAGTAACCTTTATTACGTGCTTTTGTTTAGCTTTGATCCAATTTACTGTTACAAACCAGTCAAATGCAAACAGATGATAGGGTAAAGTTCCGCGATTAGCAACAATTCTGTTGCAGGAGTAACAACACAAGTCTGTATTTGAACTAGTACGAACAGACTAGCTGGCTTTTATTAACTCGTTTAAAATGGGACATTTCCCTCAGGGATCCATTCTCATCTAAAGAAATTGATCTGGCAGACCCAGAAGCTACTTGAATATAACCGCAAGACGGCAACAACGAAAGAAATTTTAGGTTTTGACTTTTGAACAGGCACCATTTACAAAGGACCTGGAAAGGTGCCATTCTCCCTTTGCTCGTTCCACCGATCAATCTGCATAGAATGCAATTAACATTTAGTTTTTTTCTTTCAACACAATGAGATTGCAGTATTGCAAAGGAAAGAGAATAACACAATATTAGAAGGTCCCTAATTTGGTTAGTTTTACATTCAGACGTGTAAGATCAGTGGAACAGCGGAAGTCCAATATATGTTTCTGTGGAAGTCACATTTCAATAGCGAAAACAGATCTCAACATAAACACTATTGCAAGGACAGCAAACTCGGTAGAGGTACCTACCCATTCACCAGGGCAAAGAGAACGATAATACTTTGCAAACTTGTCACATTCAGTAGCACCTTCCCCTTTTGCAGCTATACACCTGTAAAGACCAACCCAATCAAGATAACTTGTCAAAAAAAAGTACTGGTACCTAACTGGTTTGAGAATGGAAAGTGTTCAATAAACAAGTAGAGGGTTGGTCTTTACAACCCTAGTTGACTAAGTTGTCAAAAAACTAGATTGACTCACCGATGATACTCTATGTAGCGGGTAAAGCAGTGCCTGGATTGATTTGTAGTTGGGAAACGGAAATCTGCTGGTGCTGTCTCAAGCTAGTATCCAACCACCGGACATAAGTAAAAGAATGGAACATGCGAAAATGATATAGCAGAAACATTATGCAATAAGACAACCATTAAGAAGTGCTAAAGATGAATTGTCTAGCCACTAACCTTGATCTCTGGTGTCTGTTCAACTTCTTCATCACCTGAATTCTCCTGTTCAGTGCTTTCACTGCTTTCTTCACCAGCAGCTGGGATGGCTTCAGTATCACCTTCACTCACATTAGGCTTAGTTTCATTGCTCTCTTCAGCAGCAGCATCAGAGGCTTCGCTGCTTTCCTCAACAGCAGGAGGGGTAACTTCGTTACTTTCAACAGCAATAGGTGTTTCCTCGGTTTTCTGAGTGACAACTTCATCAGAGGCAGTATTAACAGAGTCTTTTACCTCAATGGCATCCACAGGTTTTGTACCCATAACCGGCTTCTCTTCCTTCTCCTTCAATAAGTATTGCTGCATGTCAAAAGATCAGACAAGACAGTTTAACACAAGCAGCCAAAATCATTTCAGGTAGGAGAAGTACAATTGAGCATGCTACAAGGCACAGTGTCCATATAGATCTAGCCCTCTGCTTAAATGACTCCATGGTAACCATCATCAGAAGATACAAATTTATATTTGATCAAAAGCCGTAATTTTTCATCATTTCATAATGTTCTTTTTCTTTCTTGGGACATGGCACAATGTTAAATTAGTTCCAATCTTTTCTCATTTCATGATAACTAATTGAAAGCATCATAGAGTGAACCAGACACACCCAATGGACACCCAACGTATACCTTTACAGAAAACCAAAAGATGGAGAGTTTATGAACATGGTAACTTGAGTAAAGATTGTCATGATCTAGATCATACAAGAATGCATCCTAAATGAAGACATAGCTTGTTAGACATATATGATACCACATAGCTTGTTAGACATTGGTACTGCACTCGCAATAGGTAATCCATCATCCATGTAATTGTAATTTAAAAGTATCCTTTGGAATTGCCAATGAACTAGGATATGTTCCTCTCTTCCTTTGTCCCCCATGCCTAAAGTGACAATCTACCAACCGGCAGATGCTTAAGAGCATCTGTATTTATATGTGTGCCTGTTTGCATTTAGGTAAACTGTTTGTATTTGTGAATGATGTCATATGAATGTGTCTAAAATAGAACAGCCCTCTTTATTCAATGTTATTTAACATAACTTGGTTGTCTTTGTGTTATTCCAAATTTCCAGTTAGTCAATTGAATGTGCATTCAAACCCCTCAGTTGCTCGTGATTATCAGATTTTAAAGAGAGACTCACTTTTGCCACGCCATGCCTTCAGAAATGTAATAATTAGGAATATGCAATCCTACCATAATGAAGCCAAATGCCAAATACAGAAGAGAGCTTAGAAAATTGAAATCACATGCTTTGGCCAACGAACCAAGGGAGCAAATTTATTGTCAAACCACCGACCCGTGGAGTGGGAGCACATCTGCCACCTAGGTCTGTAGATTGGGGCACCCAAGGCATGCCTATAGAATGTGAATCTAAGAGGCATGCTAGACTAAGACACTAATTCACGTGAGCTAGAGCTGGAGCAAGTGTGTGTGAGCAACATAACTTAATATTAAATTTAAAGTAGGAGCATTTTCTATAGCTCAAATTCACAAAATTCTATATATAAATGATTTTGTGCAGAGGATCATCGCGGAAAGGAGAAGTGGTAGATTGTTAAAATAACACAACCAATCATCTCCCAGGAAAAGATAACTTACTAACTTATGTTAATACTTGAACACATATAAGAAGCGCAGCGCAGAGCGGTGGGGATATTATGGGTTGGAACTTAAACCTGACTGTTAAACATGCCTCGCTGCCGTCATATTATAACTACTTTTTTGTTTCAGGCAGGCCAAAAATGTAACCAGAGGAGCTTACAGCTACATATGTGGATGTACACATCTGTTAACCAATCCTTCATATACAATCTCAAAGCACCCACATATTATAAGCACCCTTCCGCTATACAGGCTCACAGTTAGATTTTATGAATGTTGAATGAAGTTTGAGGTTTGGTGGATCCAGAAATGGTATGTGGCATGGAGAGCCAAAGAAAGAATGGAGATCTTGGTGGTTTTTGGTGATAGAGGTGGTGACTTTGGGTGATTGGTTGAGTCTCATTTTATAGAAAAAAATATAGAGAGGGAGGATAGGGTGATTTACTCTATTTCCAAGATGATCCATGTCATTGGGGGAGCTCGGGTTATGAAATTTGATGGAACAATTATAGGGAATTTCCCAAACATTTTGTTGGTCAAAAGAATAATCTGGAATTTCAAAGAAGTGAGGGAAGAAATTACCAATTTTCATAAACCTAAGGAAGTGAATATTAGTTCATCCCAAATTTCTAGCAGAACTCGCAAACAGAACAGTTAGTGTTGCACATCAATGAATAAATAAAATTATTTTGATCTTTAATGTTAACCTAGAAACGAATATAAATCATGGAACATACATATAATACACAGATGAAATTTCAGACACAAATATCAGGCTTTTAATGTATAAAAATCGTATGTTTATATAGAAGTAAGAAGCTTACAAACAGAATTCAAAATTATTTTCCGGAGATATGAACCTGGGCACTACAAAAGGAACCCAAACTTCCAGTTAAAATTAAACTCCCTCTCTAACCGTTCCTGATAAGGCATAAACCCTAACGTTTAATCTGAAATTCATATAATCTCACCTTAAGGCTAAACTCAATGCATAAAAGGCATAAACTGCACCTCTATACATGTCATTTTTATTTCAAATGGGCAACATGCTATTCACAGTTAGAGGAGACTCTAAGTTAGAATTATGTAAAATCTCTGATAGACTTTAGTCACTTTACTAACTACACTTGTTGAAACCTTTTGGAACACTATTTGGTACTTGGTACACATAATATATATAAAATTACAGTATCAAACCAATACTATCTCCAACATTTGCAATAAAATGATGTCTTAATACACTAAATTTTTTGTAAATATCAAAATCCATTAAATTACATTGCAATACCGAAGTTTATCATTGTTATGACTGTTCTGTGATTTTCTAAAATGTGCCATTCTTCCTTATGCTCATGTATACCAATGCCAGAACTAGGGAGTTAATTCTTTAGAACCCCATGGCAAATACTTATATGCCTAATTCAGACTAAAATACAATATTGTCATTATCTTTGTGATAAGTAAACAAATTTTATCAAGGAAAAATGGCTAACACATGAAGCATAACCATAAAATCCAATAACCACAAGAAATCCATGGCCTCAATGTTTCCTTCAATCCTTCTCCCCACCCCACCTTCTTCTCTTTACTCTATAGGCAACTCCATAGTTATAACTTATTTCTAGTGAACTAGTAAGAAAATTAATGAAGAACTGGGAATAGGATAAGAATAGAATGAACCCAAAGCCAGGCATCTATTATTATTAATAATCTGTGCCTATTTGTACAAATTCACCGAGGCAACATAAATTATGCATTCAGATGTGAAACGGAAAATACTAGAATGACATTTTATGCTATGTCACATTATGTTCTTAATTGTGCCAAAGTAATATGCAGAGCACAGATCAACAAAGAACAAATATAACAATATTCCTTGATTGTAACTGCATGGACAGAGGGAAAAGAGAGGGGGGAGGTCTTCTATGTTTGCACAATAATTAGGAGTAAGTACCAAAATCACTATTCCAATTTGGTCATTTTAGGCTCAGTAATCTCAAGTTATACCCACAAGATTTGTACAGAAGACTGACAGCATCTATAATCATGTGGTTGGATGTGAACATTGACATTGTTCTAATGTACTAGTTTTTTCAATAGTTAGTTCTAAATTACTAGTTATTTAACTTTAAGGAGAAAGACATGGGAGCTTGAGCTTTTCTGAATTAATAAATGATGATTCTATCTCACAGTTTTTATTTAGAAATTGCATGATGGATTGATGGAAATACCAGAAGAGTTACAGCCTTTATCTTAATAAAATTTTGTTCAGGATTTTTTTATTATTATTATTTTTTTATATAAACATTTTGGTAAGGGGACATTTATTTTCACATAAATGTGGCTAATAAAAAAATAAATTATTTATTTCCAAAGACTCTTTACTTCTTTTAATCAAAATTCAGTATGTAGCATTTGCCAATTTGCATATTTGTTTCCATGTGTTGCACATGTAGCAACTACATTAGACAGTCCAAATATTAAATCAAGAATTCTTGAAGAATAGACATCCATTCACTAACTAATAAATCATATAAAGTTCCATCAAGATCTGTGTGTGTGCGAGCGGGCGCATCTCTTCTCTGTTTTTCTCTTTTATTTTGTGCATGTATGTTCACGAGGGCAACCAGAAGGAACAATGTTGGTTAATTGCAGTGATAAAAGAGTACATATCAATAGAGCTGAGTAATTTACTTCAACAAATTTCATGTCATTATGACAAAAGAAAAAAGCCATTAGGTTCATTACATGTCTAATTGCGTCCACATCAATGAGGACTGCCTATATATTTCACAACAGAAGACTTACCAAACATCTGCTTTAGCACAATTCCTAATTTAAAGTAACTCTTTCAAAGACACTTCACAAGAAGTGATAAATTTGGATAATTTTTTCTGGATTAAAATTTCATATGAATTTGCACCCAAATAGCCTTATTTACTGACTAAAATATTTATCCCAGCAGATTTTTGTTTCTTTTTTCAAAAAAATTAAAAACACTAAAGATCGGTGTTTGATCGGATTGAAATTTCAGTTTCACTAATGCACGTAATTGAAATTGTGGGTCATGTTAGTTTGAGTTTTAAAAAATATGACTCCAATTCCAATCCCAAATCCAAATCCAAAGCATGGATTGCATGCTTGCAACACAGCATATCTATAGAATTATCCAGTGACAACCAGAAAAGCAAACCAGAAGTTACGAATTCAAGAAATCAATATAGATATGATATTGATATAATGTTGATCGTGTGTTCAAAGACATTGTCACATTTCACAGCAATAAAATATGTGCTAATTTAGATATATATATATATATATATATGATTTTACCTCAGCTAGGGTTAGGGGTTTTCCGGCATCGACTTCCCCCATAGATTGAATTGGCGATGAAGCTTCAGCTACGGATGATAGAAGAAGAACGCAAATGCTGTTAGGTTTCGGATATAGATACAGTGATTATACACAATTACCGAATACATACATACATAGGTCAGTGTGAATGTGAAGGCTGAAAGAAAGAGTGAGGCCACCTCAGTTAGCCACGTGTCACATTTTTGGTCAGTAACTGGACTGGCAAATGTGGGCTTGCGTTCCCAATTTTGACTCCGTCTAGAAAAAGTGACTATTGTCCAATCACCAATGAACTCTTCATGTTTTATTACGAGGGTAAATTGCACGGGCCACCACGAGGTGACTACTTTGATCTCTTTTAAATTGGTTTTTAAAATTAGTTTGATCCAAAAATAATATTAAGTTGTGTTCGGTGTAGGAGATAATACAAGAAAAAAAATGTTAATAAGAAGATGATTTATTTTTTCTCCTTTATAAATTTTTATTTATAAAAATGAACGAAAAAAAAAAGAGAAAACAAGTGAATTATTATAAAAATTTTAAATTAAAATATATTATAAATTATACAAATTTTAAATTACAATACTAACCTTTATAAATTATAATATAATAAATATTATTAGATATAATAGTAAAAACAATTAAAACTTTATTTTTCTCTCTTTCTTAATGAACATAGTAAATTATTGGTTTAAGTACAAAAAACACCCCTATAATATGTTTACATTGCATATTGCACACCTTCCATGCAAAAAGTACCCATAAACTATGACATTTGTGCAAATAGGTCATATTTATAAAAATTAGACTAAAATGCCATTAGCAACACATTTTATAATATATATATATATATATATATATATAATATTTTGTGAAATGACTAAAAAAGGTTGGACCCTTCTTCTTTTTCATTGTGCTTTATCAAGCATCCGACAACGAGCTTCTAACCAGGCATGTCGTCACCGGAGCTACTAACTAGGCATGTCCGGCGAAGTTTGTTTGGACGTTTTCGACCCACCTATGCAACCCCAGAATCCATCTTTCTAAAGCTTCGAACATAAGCTTCCATTCTTTGCAGTGAAGCTCCAAGTACCGAAACCCAGTTCATGTCAACGTGTTCCTAAGCGATGACAAAACAATGGCGAGCTAAACGGTCTCTGTAGTTTTCCCACACAGATGCCTCTTTTTGACTATTAATGAATAGACCCCATCGGACTCCTCTGTGGCTGAAAATACAGGCTCCGTCGTCCCGGGCATTTTAGTCCAATTTTTATAAATAGGGGGTAAAAATGTTGCTTAGGGGTATTGTTTGCACACCTTTTTAAAAATTGGACTAAAATGCCCTCAGCAACACACTTTCATAGTCACCGAGATAGTAGCCACCATCATCATCCTCGATAGATGTTTGACATGGAGGAGTTTTGGATAGCAAGTAGGAACCTCTCATGATCGATCAGGCACCGCTCTTCACTTGCTCTACCACGTTTGCATCGTTGAGAAAAGCAATAGCAATGATTGATTATTGATTTGTATAATATAACACATTCGTTTCAAAAGCGGACAAGGAACTCCACGAACAAAAGTCATGTATCAGAATTAGATCCTAATTTATGGCACTTTCTAAGAAATATAAGACCAGATGATCGATACGTGGCGAGACTTTAACACTTAGACACAAGTCACACTACCACAGAGATTGAGCAGGGAGATGGGAAGAAAAACAGAGCTTGAACCGGGAGAGAGAGAACTAAAAATTGGACAGGGGATTTATGCGCAGTCTGTACATTCCTTATTGTACCTTAACATACTGAACACCAACCAACTCTCCACAAGATGACAAAACTCCCACTATACTGCATGAGTACAACTAGAGGGAGATGCATTACTCACCCTTCCATATCAAACAAACATATAAGACCACCTCCAATGCAAAATGCTATTTTTGCATACCAAATATATATTTTGAGAGGAGTTACAGTGTCAAAATGCTATATTTTAACAATTCTGCTCTAATGGTGCATTTCATCCAAAATGCTATTTTTTGATACAACAACCATTATTTTTCAACTACCATTCCTAACTACAATTTTCAACAACCATTTTTTATTTTTTATTTGTGAGTGTTTGTATTTTATTTAGCTTATTTGCCTTATTAAAAATAAATAAATAAAAACATTAACACACACACACAAGCACAACAGACATATATATACACACATATATGTATACACACAATAGACATATACATATATATACACACAACACTGACATATATATATATAAGTATAACTGACATATATATATACACAAGCACAATACCAAATTGGCAGCCCATGCGAGAAAGAAGAGAGAAGGAAGAAAGCAATAACAGATTTGGTAATAGTTATATGTTGTGTTATATTTGGCACAACATTTGGCAAAGTTATATTTTGGCAGCCCATTTGACATACTATGGAGAGCCCATTTTAAACCCACATGTTATATTTTGAAAATAGCAGCCCATTGGAGTTGTTCTAAGAGCTAGCTTTTGTTGAATGCCTAACTACCACTGATGAGGCCATAGTCCACTGAAAAAGGTCATTTTGTTGGTACATAAACTTCTAAATCATTCCATCAAATACATTCTTGTAGTCTAAAAACCACTTGGAGAGAAAACACACACACACGCAAAAAAGAAGAAAAATAAGAAGTATGGTTTGGTAGGGATATTTTTGGAAGAGTAAAAGGATAAAATGGGTATTATATTAATTGGAGGGTGTTTTTGCACAAATTGAAAAGAATAGGGGTGTTGTTTGCACACCTTTTTAAATAGATGATAAAAGTGCTATGAAAAGTATACTTCGGGGGTGTTTTTTACACTTGCCCCTAATTTATTAGCTTATTTTCTTCTCTTCTTCCTAACCGAATAAAAAGAAGAAAATACACAATCTCTTCCCTAATGATTTCTCATCCATCCCTTCTTCTCTCACTTCCATCCAATTTTTTTCTTTTCTACCAAACAAAGCATGACTGTGAAAGTCACTAATACATAGTATTGCATTTTATAGATAAAATTATTATTTTATAAAATTTGATCAACAAGCTTGTTAGAAAGAAAATGGTACACCAAATTAGGAATTCAAAATAAACATGGAACAGTCTATCCATTTAATATAATTTATTCAAATTTCAAGAGAGGTTAATGTAATTTACCCTTTTATTAAATATACTAAAAAATATTGTTTATTCAGACTCTCTATCTATATAACCATTATTCTTTAAAAATAAACTAAAAGAATAAAATTGTTACAAACAAATAATTTCTCAAGACATTTGTCAAGAAAAAGAAAAACACAGCAAAACTACTAAAAAATGAATAATAAAACAGCTTTCAAAAAAATAAAACAAGAGTATATTGTAAAGTTGAGTTATTTCTGTACCTCTAATTTCACATTAAAAAAAAAAAAAACAATTAACTAAGCGAAGTTTTTGACTTTTCTTCTTTTAGAACATTTTTTTGTTCTCAAAACTAATCAAAAAGATTTTAAAATTAAGTAAAGTTCTTATAAACACACAACTATATTGTAAATGATAATACTTGTCCGCTCACCAGTGAGTAGGTGATCTATACTAACCGCTGATGTGGTCTAATCACAAATACACATATAACCTGTTGTACCAAAATGCACACCGGTGAGTAGGCAAGTATTGCCTTATTGCAAATGCAAATGTTGTGTTGTTCAAGTGATTGAGTTACTCCTCGTGTTTAGAAGTTCGTGTTCAAGCCTTGTACTCTCTCATTCCCTTTTTGATAACTAACCACTAACCCCTTGCATAAGATCCTTACAATGTGTGTGTGTATATATATATATATATATATATATATATATATATATAGGTACTGCAAATTGCTTCCTAAATTTTGTACAAAATTATGAATTATTTACAAATAGTTTTCATAATTGCATCTCCTTTACCTTTTACCTCCAAAATTGAGGGTTCAATTTATTGTATCAAAAGGTGGTTGGTTATTTAGGATTTTTCTTAGCTGAGGGGTGAAAAAAATATAAAAATAAAAATAAAAATACTGCAACAAAGTCAAACAGGAAATAAAGGTGGTATTCTAGAAGTACCATTTCAAGTAATTTTTTTAAGGATAAATTACATGTACCTCTCATATGGTTTGTCATAATTACAAAAACTTTCTCTATGGTTTGGAAAATTACTTGGACTTACCTGAAAAATGAAACTAACTTATACGGACCTCCCTACTGTGAAAGTCAATGACAGGACGGATTTTTCTGATGTCATGCACTTAATTAATTAAAATACTCATAATACCCTTATCCCTATCATTTTATAACATAACCTTAGCTTCACAACGTAAGGGCATTTCAGTAAATTAGACAAGTCCGTTAGTGCATTTGACAGTCCGTTACACAGAAGAGAGGTCCGTGTAGATTAGTTTCATTCTTAGGGGAGATCCGAGTAATTTTTCAAACTATAGGAAATGTCCCTGTAATTATAACAAACCATAGAAAAGGTCTGTGTAATTTACCTTTTTTTTAATGTTGCATTTGGGAGGATCAAATGGAATTTAGAATTGAAATTTTTTTTGTTTAAAGGTTTAACTGAGTTTTTGAAAATTAAGGTTTCTTTAATTTTAAATTCAAAATGTCGATTTAGTACTACCAAACATAACAAATTAAAAATATATATATATATATATATATATATATATATATATATATATACAGTCCTGTTCAGTTGCTCCCTGGTGTGTAGGGAGCAACATACCCGACTTTTATTTCAGTCGATGGATTTCATCCCATGACTGAAATTGAAAACAACTATACTGGTTGTTTTTGGTTTTTTAAAACTCCAAAACCACTCAATTTGAGTGTAATTTTATATAAAATTAAACACCTTCTAATAAGAAGGTTTTAATAATGAAAAAATTAAACAAATAATTCCACTAACATTGTTTGGATATAGAAGAGTGAAAGTAGTGGAGTTCTTCTATTACGGGAAAAAAAAAAAAATTCGTACAAAATTTTTAACAGAAAACTCACATTATTTAGCTCTTTTCTCTTTATTCATAATTACTAAGTCCTTCCATATTTAAAAAAAAAAAAAAAAACCACGAAATTG